GAAAAATTATTTATATGATCATATAACAGGGATGTAAGGTATAAAATACTTTAGTGAGCAGAATTAAGTTTATTATTAAAAGAGTTATTGATAATAATGTTATAGATAAATAATAAATTTTTACGTACACTTACATTCATTATTATTTGATTTTCTGACGTTTCGATTAAATGGCACAAGGTAGAGTTATTAGTCACAGCTCGTAATAAAGTAAGTCTAAATTGAGAGAGAGAGGAAGAGCGCTTTCGCTGCATGATTATTATCAACCAGTAACTGCTTAATATTAAGGTCTAATAAGTTTGGTAAAAGAATATATAAGATTATTTAATTTTTAAAGACAAGTACCAATAATCCTAATATTTCGTAGGTCGATCTTCCTAAGAAGATTTACACATTTATAAAGAGAAGAACATAACTCAATTTTGAATAAACCTAAACAAATTACTATATGGTCTTCATAGAGAAATCTAACTTTTTAAGAAGATATGGAGAATAAAACTATAAGTTTAATATGTGCTCTTCTTAAAATTATCTTTTTGATGATCAAGAAATAAGGGAAACTTAATTAACACTAATATATAAGTGAATTGTATTAATTCAAAAAAAAGAAATTATTTTTAAATGTGAATCAAGCATAATATATATATATTTTTTTAATAGCTTGTATTCTAAGCTATTTAATAATTTAATAAAACAAAATATTATTTTCTATATAAAAATTTTTTAACTGTTTAGTTAATATAATTTAAAATTTATTTAAGAAGATACTACAAGAAAAATAAAATCTTTTGTTTTCATCTTAACTAGAAAAACTTTCCTCGACTGCATTATTTTTCTTTAAGTAAAACTTTTAATGCAAGCCACACAATTTATGCGAACCCTTCTTCTCTGTTTTTTTTTTTCTATCTTAATTTTATGCAGTGAAGTCTACAAGCCGTTCATAAACCGCTTAAGGTCATTTTTTTTTCTTAGCTGCATAATTTGCATATTATGATATTTAAGATTTACATACGCACCGTACACACCCCTTGCATGCTGCAGCATCACACTAGACATTCTCGAATTCGACAGCGATCACTCAATCATGTCTTCAATGATCGAGAACTGACAGTGTCGTCGCATGGTCTTCAGCATATTTTTGCATATTAAGAAGTTTGGGGTGCAGTCGATTCCAAAAACATAAGTAAAAGTAAATTTCGTAGACCAGTGCGCTATGGGAACAAAAGCCACATTCAATAATAAACAAAAGATAGAATCAATATTTAATATAATTAATTAATAGTCAACAAACGTATAGCTGTAAATTTTTTTTTTGTTTTTTATATATAATGATTAAATAATGTTCGTTTTCTTTTTAAAACTCTAATTTAACAGTTTTTGATATATAATTTCTTTAATTAAATTCTTATTTAGTTCTTATTTGAATAACCAGCATTAATAAAATTAAAACTGATCAAGATAAGAATCATCTAAATATGGTATATCAAATGTTAGTTATTACGATCGTATAATTTTTCCCATATATCACATTTTTTCAAAGGAAGTTGTAGTGAAAATCCTTACTGTGTACAACAAAATATTGATGTATAACATTTCCTATATGCAGTGTTACTTCTCGACTAAAAATTTTATTAGTCTTCCGAATATTCTTCACAACAGATGGAGACACGATATGTGTTTCGTAATATGGTACTCTATACTCAAAACTGTACTCAATACAGTCTTGTACAAAAAATACTTAATGTGAAAATCAGTATACTTTTATCTTAACCCATATGTAAAAAGAATTATAAGATATTCTTACCATAAATGTAATACGAAATATTATATTATTCACTGATTACAATATTGGCTGATAGTTTTATCAGATATATACTATATACTGTACTATGGAATTCCTGATACGGAACGAACAAAACATTTGAATTTAGAAATAGGAACGTGTTTTAGTGCTGCTTCAGATACTTCGGATGATTCAGATAAGTAGGAATTATTTATTTTAAAATTATGGCTTTTGGTCAATAGTCGGTGGACTTATCTGATTCATAACATAACGGCATCCGTACCTTAACAAAATAAAATAAGCAGCTTCATACTAGGTAACCAGATTATGGTCTGATGGGACTGGGTAAGAAAATTAATCCGATCCTCACATGATTCCTAATCATTATTTGATTATTTGATGATTTGATTATCAGCTGCAAATTACTGCGGGCGCGATTTTTCTGATAAGCGCAATCACATTTATATTCCTGTTCTATACTTTTTCAATTCTGTTCTGTACTTTCTCCTTCATATTTTCTTCTTTAACGTTTTTCTTCTCATTATCATTCTTAGTTGTTACCAGCCGGTACTAGTCAAAGTTTCGTGCACAAAGTTTGCTTCAATATATATATATATCAATGGCCATAATTAGTCATGGATCGTGATTTTAGATATGTATTCATGATTATAAACATCTGTAGGATAACATAACCTAACTATTTTATACATTGTAGTTTAAAAAAATTTATTATAATATTACAAAATGTGAGACAGTTGCTCCAGTTGGAGTAACTATTAAAGGTGTCAATTTCGACTTTCATGGTTTAATATTAGTATTTTTTTATTTAAAACTTACCAGTTGCTTGCAGTCTCTAATCTTCCCATGGTATATATTTTGAATTTAATGTTCTTTATTAGCAGCTCAAACAACTTTGTTAATAATTATAACAGCAACATAAAAAAATAACAAATATTTGAATTCATAAAAAATTAACAGCTTTTAGTAATTTTATTGTGAATGCGCAGAAAATATTCTTTTTTTAGCAAAGACAATAACCAAAAGCAAATGCAATGCATTACAATAACATGCACTATATGAATATACATATGTTTATTAACATATTATTTATATTATCATAATTTATATTATAGTTTATTATTATAGTGTGTTAGTTTAAATAAGTAAGTAATACATGCTATTTTAATAATTTTAATTATAATATTATTATATAGAAAATTACGCACTGCGTTTGTTGACGCTTAATATAAATATTTCGAAGTGTTGGCAACAATTTTCGAACAGCTGTTCGAATATGAAGTGTACGTGTCCATTGACATTTGCTCAAAGTTTTATAGTTAGTCAACAATAATAATATTATTAAATGCAGTCATTTATAACGAAATTGTTGAATAAAAAATATCGGGCTTGTAAAATGTCTCATACTATTTAATCACACATGGGGTGATGGAATTATATTTTATATTTATATTTCTAAATGGTGTCGCGTAAATATTATATTATTTAACATTCATTCACTCATAAATAAAACAAAATTAAAAAAGTTTTTATTTAAATTTAAATTGTGTTGAAATTAATAAAAAATTATTGAATACGCTTGCCAAAGAAAAAAATGTATATTTTACAACAGTTACCAATATATGTGCTATTAACTTTATGTCTAATCTATTGGACAGAAAGGACAAATGGTTATTTTGCGGCATATAGCGAACAGAACACGGATCAAAATTGTTTTTGTGAGGTATTTTATTCATTTTATAGTAAAAATAATTATATACTTTAAAATTCTTTGCCAATTAAGCTGGAGGGTTCTATCAACGATTGTAGTTGCGATGTAGATACAGTAGATCATTTTAATAATATGAAAGTGTATCCACGATTAAAAAGTCTTTTGGTTAAAAACTACTTTCGCTTCTTCAAAGTGAACCTCAAGCGGGAATGTCCTTTTTGGCCAGATGACAGCAAGTGTGCAATACGATTTTGTCAAGTCGAGAATTGTGCAGAGCAAGAAATACCAAAAGGATTAAAGGAACATAGTGAACATGTTGACAAGTCAGCTTTGTTTAAGGTAACTTTTATATATTTATTAATTATTAATTTTTATGATTTTTAATAAGTATAAAAAATGAATCCATTTAACTACTACAGAAAGTTAATTATAATTTAAAAAAAACAGTTTTTTATTTACGGTTGCTTGCACACGTAGTTGCTTTGATTTATTTTAAAAATATTATTTCTACTCTTAAAAACCAATTTAGATTTTATGTACATTTTTTCTGATTAATTATCTGTAGTTTGTTTTTTTTTTTTTGTTAATTTTTTTTTATTTAATATCAGTTGATAAAGTGTTAACAGTATCTGTTTGAGGGGCGTTTTTAATAGCTGATTTTTTTCTTATCAATTTCTAATGAGGATTTCCCATTGATTATTATGAACTTATCAGCTTAATTTTTTTTTTTTTGAAATATTTATGCACGTTATATATCTTAAAGTATGTAGATTTATTATAAAATATAATTGAATATCATAATATATTATATGTTCATAAATCAGATAATTAAAGAGTTGCATTTTGATAAAAATTAAGTTACAAACTTAGTATTTAAGCTTCTAAGTTGTTTATGACTTTCTTTATTAGAAATTACAAAAAACAATTTTTATAAGTTTGGTTGCATAAATACATAAATAAGTTATTATTATTATTATTTACTGCTAATGATTGAGGTGCTAATTATTTGCTGTATTGTTAATTAAAAGGTGTATATTATGGATATTGTAATTCTAATTTCATCATACATAGCACTATATTTTTACAATATAATTAAAACTAAAAACAAAAAAAAATATAAATATGTATTATGCATATTATATTATATGCATATAAGTTGTTCATATAATAAAATAAATACATTAAATTAACTTAGTAGTTGATGTTACAAAAAATGTCATTATTTAAACAATTATAAATACAGTTTACTCAGTTGTGTTTGTTCAATAAGTGTTAAAAGTACACAAATGCAGCGCTATAGTTTAAGAAAATAGTATATTAATACGTTTATAACAACTATAAATATAAATGGGTTATAAGTGAGGAACATGATATGGTTGAGGAACAAGCTTGATATTATATTGGCTTAGCTATTCAAATGGTATTGCTAAGTGTTCTTTTTAAATGCTTAATGTTTTTAAATTTTAAATAAAATGGGAGAGTACGTTTGTTTAATTTTAAAAGAATTTTTATATCAAGAATTTGCTACTGTCGAAAGCAATAATGCAATTTGGCTTAAAACTTAAAATATTACTTTATTACAATATTTATTATTTGTTTTATTTAATTTGTCGAAATCAAACTTAGCAATTACACATTATTTAATTTATTAATAATTAAATTTTATTAAAATTTATTTTTTTTTGTTTTAATTTAAGAAAGAATATATAAATCATGCAACAAATAATGTCTCTATAAACCGAATAATATTGAAATTTAACAATTAAAAATAAAAATATAATTAATTAATTCAATTATTCTACAGCTGGTTTATGATTTCGTTCAAATATAAACACAACAAATAAATTTGTTAGTAAAACTATCACAGCAAATTAAAACTCCAAAAACTGCTAACTGCTAACATAAAAGTCAAGTACGGGGGCTTCGGGGTCAGTTGGTTAAGGAGCACTGATTCTGAGCTTCAAATTTGACAGAGCACGAGTTCGATTCTTGATACTTGCGGTCTCAAAAAAATTATTTACGAATAATTAAATACAAGAATTATTTCGAATACCACTGATGACGGGTATTTGGCAATATTAAATTAATTGTACCTATAGTCGAAATTTTAAAAAAGAATTTTTGTTGTTGTAGTTCACTACTTTTCGAAAACCTCTTTATTTAATTTTAAGTTTTATTAAATTTATTTAAATATTTTGTCATATTTCTTGTTTCATGTTTTATTTCACCGTTCACATATCGAATTCTAGTAGTATTAATCTTATCTTTAATTATCTATTATAATAGTTGGCTAAATGCGATAATTTTTCGGTTTCATTAAATGTTTATATAATGTCTGTAACTAAATATATAGCTATCATTGAAGTACAATATTAATCAAATGACCATAACGATTATATTACAATAAATATGAACATAATATGATTGCTCTTAAAAAAATAATTTCTGGTTAGATATTTTTATCAAGAGCTTAAGTTAAATTTTTCTAATATTCTCTCGCGAATAATAAAAGATTAAGTTTTTAATCTTAAGTAAAGTATTAAATAAAATAAAATAAAAGTATATAAAATATTACACTATAAAAATTTGTTCATTTTGCATACATATAATTGTTATATCAACAAAGTTATATAATTATATTATATATAATTATAATATATAATTATTTTCACATTCATCATATTCACTGTCATGATAAGAGGTTCTTTAACATACACCAAAACTTATTTCAATTAGCTTCCCTTTATCCCCCATAATCCCCCACATCTAATCCCATCCCATGTATTTGTTTTGTAGTCCATTAATGCTTTCCACTTAATGACTCCTTCTGTCAAAAACATCAAAATCGAATACGAATCTTGGCAGTATTTTTTAAAGACTAATTCTTGTATATAATGGAAAAAAACAATTTTTGCTAAATTGTTAACCTCATATATTAAGTGCCAAAATTTATTTTAGGGAAAAAATATTTTTAAAACACTGACGTGTATATTCGATGAGTTTCTCATTTTTCATCTCAACTAATATCAAACCATAATTATGAGTTCTGAAAAATTTTGATGTGATGTAGATGTTGCGATAAACGCCCTTTCAATACTGACGTCATTACTTCAAAATAAAAAATATATCATATTTATTATTATGAAATTAAAATTAAATTAGAAAAATCACTTTTTCTAATTTATCAATTTTAAAATCATTTCAATAAATATAAATAATCTATTAAATAATAATGTATAATTATAAATTTAACTAATTGTAATTAGTATTACTTAATCATAATTAAATTATTAATTTTTTTTCTCATTTTATAAATTACAGTATACCAAAGAAGCACAGAACGTTGATTGTTCTCATGCGGAAGATTTTAATAGTGCCCTTGGCTTTCTGGATACAAGTATTAGTGATCAATCGCATAGAGAATTTGCACGTTGGGCTGAACATGATGAAGCTGAAGAAGAATTTTGCATATTGGATGACGACGAATCTGGTTCACAATATGTAGATTTATTATTAAATCCTGAAAGATATACGGGTTATAAAGGAGATTCAGCACATCGTATTTGGAAAAGTATCTACCATGAAAATTGCTTTGGTATGAATGATACAAAATCCGTACCGAATTATATACCACATATAGATTTGCGTAATGTTTGTTTGGAGCAGCGAGCATTTTATCGAATTATTTCTGGACTACATTCAAGCATTAATATTCATCTTTCGGCAAAATATTTGTTATCAGAATCTAAAGACTTTTTAAGTCCACAGGGTATTTGGGGACCAAATTTGCAAGAGTTCGAAAAACGTTTTAGCCCAGAAAATACAAATGGTGAAGGACCACATTGGTTGAGAAATTTATATTTTATATATTTAATTGAATTACGTGCATTGGCCAAAGCGGCACCTTATTTACGAAGGGAGGCTTATTATACTGGGATATCAGAAGAGGACAATGAAGTGAAATTGGCAATAAATGATTTATTATCTGTTGTAGAGTAAGTTGAAATTAATGTAAGTAAAATATTTTTTTAATAATATGTTTTATAAATTATATTTTTTAGGTCATTCCAATCACATTTTGATGAAAATGCTTTATTTACAAATGGCATTGCAGCTGTAAAATTTAAACAAGAGTACAAAGAGAAATTTAGAAATATATCTAGAATTATGGACTGTGTTGGTTGTGAAAAATGTAGGCTGTGGGGAAAGTTACAAGTAAGTTTTTTTATGTGTAAATAATTTAATAAAAGTTTTTTTTCATTTTTATTAAAAATAGGCATTTAATTTAATAATTGAACATTTATTCAGAAGTAGTCAAATAAATAATATGCTTTAATATAGAATTATGAAGTTTGTTAATACTTATATGCTACAGCTACTATTACTATTTTAATATTTTAACTTTTTTTGAACAAAATTATTTTGAAATAATATTGTAAAATTAATTTATTTTATTTATTAAAAACATAGACATAAAAAGAAATTATATATTCGAAATAAAAAAGTACTAAAAGTGAATACATATACGACTCTTAGAATAAGATAATATTTTAAATTAAAATATTAATGTACATTTATAAAAAGTTTAACTTTTAAGCATTATAGAATAAATAGATTAAGTAAAATACGATGTACGAAACTTTTACAGGAGATATTTAGAAAAAAATTTTAATTTATTGAAATTTGTAAACGATGGGAGAGAGGAATGAATGCAAACTAACATTGTTGTCCTTATGACCAGGGACCTAGAGTTGTTTTAGCTTTTGAGTGTGCATCGAAAGCAGAAGTTCTGACTTAAGATTGTTATGATAATTTAATGTGGATCAAGGATGGGTTATCGTGACACTCTATGAATTTCATACTCGAAAGGAACTTTGTTCACCGAGGCTTCTGATTTCATACAAATATAAGAGTAATAAGAGCATAAATCCAAAATCCATAATTCCATTTATTAATTTAAAATACCTAATTTGCTTGTAAAAGAGGCTAGAAATACTGTACATTCATTAAAGAATTATTTTATTATAATTATTTATAAAATGCAGATTATATATATATTAAATAGAATATTAAAATGCTATTGATTATTCGCTTTTAGTATAATTTATTTATGGTATAACTTATAGTATAATTTTAGTATATTTTTCTGCAAAATAACAAAGCTTTATATTTTTATATTATTTGATATTTAACTAAACTTTGTTTTTTATAATAGACACAAGGATTGGGTACAGCTTTAAAAATTCTTTACTCAGACAAATTGAATCAAGCAACAGAAAGTGGTTTATGGAATAAACCACATATAGAAGCAGATCCCATCTTCAGGCTAAGACGATCGGAAATAGTTGCCCTGTTTAATGCAATTGGAAGGTAATATACATATGTTGTATTTTTTACACATAAGAAATAAAATATTTATAATATTTTCTTTGTTATATTGCAGACTCTCAACAAGTATCTTTGAAATGGACAATTTTAGGAAATTGTTAAGATAGCAGAAACATCCTGAGTTTTAATATAAATACTTCTACTTAATTTATGTCACTGTAATTATGTCATTTATTTTGATTATCGTAAAACGTGCGTGTGAGTTTTGTATGCAGTTTATTTTATTTGGTATTAGAACCAATGGTACCGCTTGGAAGCTCAACATCTATCAATAGGTTAGCTAAAATTAGATTAATGCATGTGTATATATATGCGTCTGTGTATGTATATTTTTTACTTATTTATATATTTATTTATTCATAATGCTCACTTTATATATTTTTTATGTGCAATAGTTTTTTCTTTTGAGATTATACATTATTATGGAAAATATTTTTGAAAAACTTTAATGCAATGATTGAACGAGTATTAATAAAAATTAATTGCAAAAACTTACGAAATTATAAATTTAATACGAATTGTTACTTAATAACTAATAAAATTTAATGTTTTAAAGAACATTCATAAAAGTGAAAAAGCTTGTACAAATTTATTCAAGATATTCGTGTATCTGGTGTGTATTAAAATATCTTGGCTTCACTCCTGTCGAATATATCCAAGCAGTAGATAAATTACTTCAGTACTAGCTGATATAAGGAAGCGAAATGCCAGTTTAATTAGTTGTAGCCGTGTTCTTGGTTTGGAGAAGTCTTTGTCTTTTCGTCGTTTTTTGAAAATAGAAAATAAGACTATTTAGAACTTCAGCAGCGGTGATATGATATTTAAAGCGTAATTTTCAATAGAATATATTAATTGCTGTTAACCAGTTTACTTGAGAAATGTTTTTACTTATGGCGTAAATTATCAATATTTTCATCCATTCATGGAAAATAAATCAAACTCTCAACTTTTTTTGTCTCCAAAATAATTGGTAAGTTTTAATATATTTCTTCCTTCTAAGTAACAAATATTATTTTTTGGTATAAATATCGAAATTATTAGGTTGCTGCTAAAGTTTATTCGGAAGTTAAAAGAATACTCAGAAATGATTGGGAAAATCATTTAACAACTTTTAATAAAAAAACCAAAATTAGGAAAAAATGGGTTCAATATTAAATAATTCCTTTCAGATCAACCCTGAATTACAACCTATGCGTGTAATTGGTATTATTTACATAGGAAACATTCAAAATCTTCAACTGACATATGTTTCCTTAGTAACATAACAATTATCAAAAAAAAAATTTTTTTTGTTTACTGTTTATGTCATTTAAACAAAACGTTATTGGCTATAAGAAGTAAAACGTCTTCATATTAATCTAAATATTTTCCGCAAAAGAGGACAATTTGGAGTCATTATAATATATTTTAATTCGTTGCTTTTTTGTGATAATTCTTTTAATTCGATATGGTTATTTTAAAAGTTAAACGTGGTGATGAACACCTTTTTCTATATGAAGCATGTATTACTACTGAGGCCACATCAATTATAGGTGATATAACTGCCATTTATAATGGGCGTTTAAAAATATATCGTGTGTGCATGGAAATCGAAGAGTTAAGTGAGCACGGTCCGATGATACCAAATGAAATGATGGGTTTGACTGATGAGCAAATTGTTGAGCTAAAATTGGAAGATATATGGGCTGAAAAGTGTGTTCCTTCTGGTGGATTTTTATTTAATAAAGATCCAATGGGCCGTCGTAATGGACGTCAGCCAAATGAAAAAATGCAAGAAGTTTTAATGAATGCCGTAAAAGATGCAAAAGAACTTGTTGATAAGGTTTCTAAAACAACAAATTATATTTGTTTAACATTAAACAAGATGAAATAAAATATTTTCTTTTTGTATATAAATTTTAGAAATTAGTGCTGGCTTCGAAACCACTTACATTGAAAATTGTATCTGAGGCTTTAAATATATTGCGTGGTGCTGTTACTATTGTTTATCCAATGAAATTACCACCGAATGATATTATTCGAATGGAATTTAGTAACACTGAAGATCTCAGCGGAACACAAGCTTCAAAGGAAGTTATTGAGCCGTCGAAGGCTCAGTTGTGGTTTGCCGGACGACAAGTTTTGCCCGACAAGAAGTTAAGTGATTATATGGGTACTAATGATAAAACTAAGGTTAGTTTTTATATAAAAAATTGTTTTACTTATATGCTCTATATGTAGTTCATAATAATATTAATAATATTATTCTTACTATAGTATAGTATACCATATATAGTATTATATGTATATATAGTAATGTTGTATTTATTATTATAAAAATATAGTATATATAGTTCATAATAATATATGGATTTATATATACTAATATGAATTTATTTTTTAACTTAATACAAAAAAATTTAGTAATAATTTACCTAAACTTATCAAAACCTAGGTTGTTGTTAAACTTAACTCAATTGGTGAAGGTCCTCCAGGACGTGAACCGGTTCTTACCGAAGATATTCGCCGTAGAATGATGGCTGATGCTTATCGCAGACAGGAAGAACTCAAGGTAAGTGAAAGAAACATATATTAATGAGTTAAATAAATTATTAACTGAAATATTTCTGTAAATTTTGTCCGTAATTTTTTAAACACCTTAATGGAATATCTGATCACCATTGGATCTTAGAAATGAAAAATATCGCATTTTTATCTAAGACAATCAAAACACTTGAAAAGCCCCAGAATTTTTAGAATTGTTTTTATTATAACATACATGATTTTTTCATTGTAAAATTTACTAATCTATCTTAAATTGAGAATAGCGGGGAGGTTTTGGTACAATTTTTATTTGGCTTGTTATATCTGACTTAGTCAACTATAAAAAGGGGCTCATTTTACGATGTAATTTTTTTTTTGACATCTTGAGAATGATCTGCCTTTATGCTAAAGACTAAATCTCTTTGTCTTTCAATTCCAAAATTTGCTTGTGATGCTTGTAGTACCTACATATAGGTATTGTTAATCGGTTTTTTTTTTATATCAAATGTTCCTTACGTTGTTCATCAACTTCAATTTCTCGTATATAATTCAAGTAACTTTTAGAGGTACTATAAACAAATTTTATTTGAAATTGAATTTTATTGAACCAAATGTTTTGAATTATTTACAATTATTTACAATGTGTGGCAATACAAAGTTTTTTTACAAAGTTTTAGACATTCACATTAGCATTGATTTTACGGTTCAGAAAAACAACTTAAAACGACCATTGTATAACACATCTGATCCGCTATCACAAACAGTGATATTTAAGTTCTCTTGATCATTTGACTTTATAAAGTTTCATATGACCTTTTTGTTAAATTAATTTAATTTAAAAAGAAGTGATCAATTCTTCAGAATTGATCGCGTTCCTTGAAACGCAAGAGTGGTTGTAAGTTTTTGAACCTGTGGGTTTCATTTTGACTATTTGTTCCACTGTGAGAAGTGCTTCCACTTGTCTGTCTATAGAATCGTTATTTGGCGGAGTATGAATGCAGTTTTGACATTAGTTCAAATGCAAGCAATTTGAACTGCTTGCAGTTTAATTATGGCACTCAGTACTTGTCCTACTGGCAGTTTAATTTGGACTCCTAATGTTTCTCCTCACTACATTTTTTAGAACGCCTTCTAATCATATGGTATTTTCTAACATTAAATAATACTTATTTTTAAAATAAAATAATGTATTTATTTTTTTGTAGAATTAATTTAATAAATATTTTCATTAAGTAAATGTATAAAATACATTAAATTACTAAAACATTTTCGTTTTTAAAGATAATAAACTATAACAGCGAAAATCTATATATTTACGATAACTAAGAAATGCTTCATTAATAGAATTTTTTCCAGATTGATTTTATTCTATTTTTAATTAAATAAAATAAACTTAGCTAGTTTTATATATAAATATATTAACATTTATACTAAATATATAAAACATTTTAATGTGCGTAATATTAATAAAATAATCAAATAAAAGTAATATTTATTTTTAAAAATAAATTTGCATAATTAAGAGTACCATACAAAATTTTTTTTTTTATAAATATTTTTCTTTCTCTATACATTCAAAATCAATCTGGTGAAAGTAGGTGGTTTAGTATATTTTATATAATATTTTTTCTATTAAAATTGCTAAATAAAAACAATAGCTTAGCAATTTCTTTATATATTCATATATACATCGAGTTGATTTACTTAGACAGTTCATATATATATAACCTCTGAAATTTGTATAGATATAGTGATTGTAGTTTTATAGTTTTCGATCAGATTTATTACTACAAATGCATTAGTATTCCTTATTTTTTTTTTAGTTTTCAGTTTAATTGCCTTTGCTACTAGTTGTGATGTGTCAAGCATTTTTTTATAT